ACATAAGCAATAGCTAGGGAAAGTCTGGGGTAGAGGTTCAGTCTAGGAGACATTTCTGTCATCAGACAAAGGACAACATAAGAATACTGGAAGAAAAGGAATGGAAAGGACAGGGGAGAAGATCATCTTTGGTATACTTTTGTATAGGTTTAATGTTGAATACATACATGTGAAACTAAATTTACATACTATATAATCTGAATTAGTAAATTAAAATCGTAATTTTAGTATACAAAGGGAGAAAATTTATAGAGAAAATACGAGGTAAACCTATTTACATGAATATTTATTTTACACTTTAAGTTTTTCTTTATCAGCCTTTCTTTAAGGCATCATGCATACCACCTCTACCTCCAACTCCTAAAACCACAAGCCCCAAGTCTAGACAGACTTGGGCTGATGAGTCCTTGTGAGCATTTGTACATGCTCTTTGTCAAGGGTTAGAAAGATAGCACCTATGTTGGTATGTTAACAGTTGATAGTATTAATAATATTTAATGGGATTTAGTGATAACTTTTCCAATTCCTTACTTCCCAAGGTTTCATTAGTATAACCAGCTTGGATGATGTTTCTAATGTTGACTTTGGCTAGATTTATTAATTTGTATTTTCCCTCTTCCTATCTTACACCCAAACACTTAAGATGTATCAGACACTGTGCTGGAGGCAGAGCCAGATTTTTTGTGAAGCTAATGAAGCTTAAACTTCAGGATCCTTTACTAGCATTGGCTTCAAGGTCCAGGAAGGGACCATGAAAATGTGTTTATGTGTTTTTGCGTTTTTACTAGATTTGTGAAACTAAAATATTTTAACCACAATCAGTTAAAATTTCTTTTACTTTCCACTCTAACTTGCTTTCTGTTAGGTGACACTGTAGTAGACGGGCATTTCAGGAATCTGGACAAGGGGGAATTGAGATTGGGTGCATTTAGTTTGGGTTTAGTGAGATATATTTATGTGGTTCATGGTCACTACCAAATCCAGGTTATTGCTAGTCTTCCAGGTATAAGAATGGCTCTCAGGAAAACTACTACTACCTGATACAACTCAGCATAATTTTGATATGAAAGTGCAGAGCTGGAGATTATATTGCAAAGGCATATTATGTCAACCTTAGAAATATAAAGTAGAATAAGTAAGACTTGAAATCTGAACTGTATGGAGCCAAAAGCTAGTCCATAAATTCTTCCAAATCCTATAGCTCTTGCAAGAAACTAGACACAGGGTTCTGAAATTTTGACAAACAAACACAAAGGTTCATATGTCATTTACCAATGATAGATGATTGACAGGTAACAAAGAGAAATGGGAAGTGAGGAAATAAGACTGGCTGGACCAGGGAGCTGGTGCTAGGAATTAGCAAGAAATAAGATTACAGAGGCAGAATAGGGCTGAGCTTATAGAGATCATTGATTTCTAAGATATAGAGCTTGAAATTGCTTGTATGGGTAAGTGAAAGATATCAGAGAATATGGTGCATGGAAATTAGGTGATTAAAACAATACTGGAGTAAGTCCAGTACAGAGGTATTAAGTAAAAGGATCAGAAAAGAAGAAACTGAAGTGATGGAAGTCATTTAGGTAGTGTCATGGCACCATTAATAGAAATGGGAAGAGTGGCATGAAGAACCAGTTTGGGAGAAAAGAGAATGAGTTTGGAGACACTATAACCATGAGTTTAAATATTGAGTTTGATCATGAGGCATCAAATTAACTTTTTTTACAAAGCAACGTTAGGTATTTTATGTGGCAGAATTGATAATTACAGAATAATTTGTAGCTGGCAGCACAAAGTATTAAGTAGAAATGAAATATAATCTAAAATGAATCTCAAAAAATAGAAGGGTAGGAAACTTAGAGGTTAGGATATGTTCATACATAGATTGTGGTCACATGGTTTCATAGGTGTATACTTATCTCCAAACTCATCAAGGTGTATATATTAAATATGTACAGCTTTTATATGCCAACCATAACTCAGTCAAATGGTTTAAAAAAATGAGTCTAACAAATTTCTCACAGAATAATGTTGGAAAGTAAAATTCCTAGGGGCAGAAGTATGGAGGAAGAGAGGGGACCACGGAGGGGGAAACTTTGCTAATGGTAAAACTTCTGTTAACTTTCTTCTGATTTTGATTTTTTACAATTATGAAATTTAAGAGCCAGCACTTGAGAGGAAATAAGAAACATATTGCATCACAGTTTTTGTGCTGGAAAAAAAAATCTACTGATGTAGGACATCTTTTCCAACTCATTAACATGGTTTACAAGGCCCCCTCATCTTCTCCTGTCTGCTTCTCCAACCTCATCTAGCACCACCCTGTCCCTAGGATTTAGCTGTGTCAGGATTGTTTAACCTCTAGGTTTTTACTCATGCTGTTTAGAGTAAAACGTCAGCATCGTGCATGTCCCTCTCCCAAACCTGTCCAACTCCCACTTCTGGCATCTGCTTTGTTAGGGAGATTCTCTGCCAAATCTCCCTCCCATGCTGCAGCAATACTCTTTATTTCCCTTATTGTAATTTTCTGTTTACTTTTGTTCTTTAATACAAACATGTGGGAACAAAGACCACCGTATGTCCTGATGGCCATTTTATCCCCAGTGACTGATTCAATAGTAGTATGGGCTTGGGAGCATGTCACCCACTTCAGCACTGACAATAGAAGAGGGAAACCCCTCCAATTCCAAATCTTAAGGGGCCCCCATAATCTAGAGCAGTGCCAATAGGGTAGGGATGAGTGGAGCAGGGATGTGATGGAGAGTAGGTATTGGAAAGAAGGTGAGAAGTGGGAATCAAGAAGTGAGCTGTGTAGGAGGAAGGGCTAAGTTTTCTATTTTAAATTTGAATGGGCTTTTTGTCACCTCTATCTTTTCTTATGAAATTGCACCTTCCTTTTTTTCTTTTTATTGTCATAAATTACGGTTTCTAATTAGTCTTTCTCTCTTTCTATGGCTAATTATAAATCAGATCTGGACCCAGCCTCATAGTTTTCTCCTTTGTAGTTAACATCTTCCCCCTGCCACCCCAATTAACGGACTTTATTTTTAGAGCAGTTTTAGGTTTACAGAAAATTGAGCAGATAGTACAGTGTTCCCACATGCCTTCTTTGTCCTTTCCTCTCTTATTAACATTTGTGTGGTGCATTTGTTATAATTGCTATTGATTTTATTATTAACTAAAGTCTTGAAAGCATGGGAGAATACTGACAGAGAAACTTGGAGAAGATAGCTTCCTGTTATCTCTTTGAATAGATAAGGAAAAAATTTGCAAATATTTGCAAACCAGATGCCAAAATATTAAGTTAAATCTAAACTTGTTTTATATTTTGCCATCATTTTTAGTGTACATCTCTTTCTTAAGAATGGTAAAGAACTTTTCCATAATACTGAGAGATCTGTTAAATTAATTTCAGAGACTGTTTATTTCTATGCATGTGACATAGAAAACCACATTTGTTAGAATATCTATTAGAAAAGTGTCTTTCACTTATGGTTGTGAACTTGTTTTCATAGGAGTTTGACATTAGCTTTAAACTTGTGAGGAATGCCAGGTACGTATTAGGTGTCCAATATGTATAACAATTTACTGAGTTAAATAATGGATTGAATTAATACTTAATAATTCACTCTGACCTCACTAATCTGACTATAACTAACTCAACCAGCCTAAGAGAATTGTGCATCTTTCCTTAAAATTAGGAAAGCTATAAAAATATTTTCTCATTGTGAAATATGTTTACAATAAAAATAAAGTGATCCTAACGTTAACTTAAAAAATGCAGTGCATTTTGTGGGCTTGTGCCCCTCCTTCATATTTTGAATCCCTTAAACCCCAGTCAGTATCTCAGAAGGTGACTCAGTCTGAATATAGCCTTTAAAGAGGTGATTAAAGTGAGGCTGTAAGGGTGGGCCCTAATGGCAACTGACTAGTGTCTTTCTAATAAGAGGAGATGAGGATGCACAAGGAGACATGGGGGTATATGCACACAGGGGGACGGCCATTTGAGAACATGGCGAGAGGGCCATCTATAGGCGAAGGAGAGAGGCCTCAGAAGATATCAGACTGACTAATACCTTAGTCTTAGACTTTTAGCCTCCAGAAGTGAGAGAAAATAAATTTCTGTTGTTTAAGTCATGCACATACAAAACAAATACATTTATCTGAATTCACTACAGCAAGAGGAAAGCTGACCATTCCACCTATAGTAAGAAACAATCCATCTACATGAATTTAGCATACCAGTTAATAAAGAAAACACAACTCTATTTAACCTACCATATCATATATACATATTCTTTTAAAACAATAATGTTTATCCTATATATTTAATGAAATTTTTTTTACTTAAAAACTACCTGAAAAACATTTCTTATTACTTATAGGAAAGAGATAGAAGTTATTGATAAGAACAAGTTTTAAAATATTCAAAGGAATAACTCCTCTCTTTCAGAAGAAAAAAAAGATAATTCAAGTAGAAGAGAATATAACATGCTTTAACAACAATACTCATAACTTGTGTCAAATTCTCTAGGCACTAGGATAAAAAGAAAAGAAATTGTGTGACTGCCTTTGAAACAAGATGGGAAGAGTATCACTTTAGAAAGCTACCTTAAATCAGACAGCTTCTAGCTTAATCTGAGTTCATCAAGGATGATGTAATAACATGGAACTTTGGCATGGAACTTTGGAGAAGTGCTTCAATTCATTAAATTTAAATTTTTATTTTTTGCATTAGGGTTTTCTTCAGTGCTTTTCAGAAACTTCCTTCCCAAGGCACTGTTTAGCTTGGCAGTTCCACAGTTTACCACCATAGAAATAATTTTACTATTTTTCTCTAAGAAATGGTAAGTTGTAATATGAAAAATATTGGGTCAGTATAAGATTAAGAAATTGTCAGCAGTTCCTGTATTTGCTACGGATAAAAACAAATTAATATTCTTAAAATAAATCATATCTAAATTTGAAAAAGTAGCAATGAAAGAATAAATATAACTTCTTACCACTGGGCAACACCATGACTGGCTCTGTAAATCTTTGTTCATCTGCTGAAGGTAGGTTCAGGGAGATGATTAACACCATTCCCAGACTAGTTCCAACAAACAAACAAGGGGAGATAGTAGGGTCATTTTTCCGAGCAAAGGACTCCATGAAGTATAGTGCTGTAATTGCTTCTTTTGAATCTTTGTCAATACTGGAGATGCTGGAACTTCTAGAACGATTACAGGAATTTTCTCGGCTTTCTATGGAAATTTGAAAAACAAAAATTGTTAGTATATTTCTGCAACAGGTAAAATCAGACTTAGTATATAAAAAACAAAATTATGGGGGTGAGGTAGAATTTGATTCTTTTATAATTAGTCAAAATTCTCTAATCTGGAAAAAAATATTTCAAGAGTCAAGGGTACGAGAATTTCTGGTACTATTTTAATTATGTTTCTCTCATTTGTTGGAAGTATTCCTAATGATTTCTTGGCAATTCTCACTTACAATATTGTGGCTACTTACTTGAAGGGGTCACAAATGTTTTACGGTAAATACATTTCCCTAATACAATTTTTGGTTTGCTATATGTGGAGTAAATTACAGTTGTAAAAATTGAACCATTTACCAAGGCCGAAGAGAAATGTTATCTCCCTGACCTTGTTTCAGAAGCTGTCAACACTGAATCCAAATTCAGTTCTAACTTTGCAAGGGCCAAATCAAAAGCTGTAGACAATGCCATCCTATTGACAGTGATAATTTTTATGAGAGGGTTTCAGCCCACCTAAAGGAAACAGGATGGTTTCATGTTCTTCTCATCAACATTTAAACATGTGCACACCCCAACAAACATAAACTTACCACCTCAGTTAAATAATATTATGAATGTTGTTTTGTTCTAATAATTGCTCCAGAGTACAAGTTTCTCATATTTTTCTCTACGTCTTTCACTCTCCTTTCCCTCTTGATAGGTACACGATAAGTACAAGTGTGACTCATTTTTATAAAAAGGGACTAAATATAAGTTCCTTAGACTATTCTTTTTCTAGAAAACAAAATACAATATTCCTAATTTCCCCTGTTTTATCCCTAAGCAAGTCTGTAAAAATGTTCATAATAGAATTTGGAGATGAGAGGGAGCTTGGATATAACTTACATACTTTACAGATTTGGAGACAGAGATATAGAGTTAAATAATTTTCCCAGAATCCAGCATAAGTTAGAGGCAGAAATGTCTAAAACTCAAAATTCCCAACTCTCAATCCAGTGATTAAGTGCTACTTCTTTTATAATCTTTAGATACTGCTTCTATTGTAATGTTCCTAGCTCATTGTTTCCAAAATTTTTCCATTCAGGGTTCATCAACATTCAAGGTAACTATCCACAGACACCCATGAGAGGCATATCATTATCTGGATGTCTATGGACCAGATTTAGTATGATGTAATATTAAAGTAACAAGTAAAAATTTTTAAATTTAAAAATTTTTGAAGAATACTATCAAATTTTTTTGAGGGGTGGTAGTTGGGGAATACTTTATAGTATAGACTTACCATAGGAAACCTTCCTAAGATTATTTTTTCCTATTTCTGTTCCCAAAATTCTTTATCAGAAAGAGCAGCAAAATGATAAGAGTCCCTCTCCCCCCACCCTCTAAAAATTTCTGTACTTCTCACTCTTTACTTCCTGCCCAGATGCTCATTCCATAAATAAGCAAATAATTCTCCTTTTTTTTCACAAAAAGATGAAAATGAAGATTACAAACTTAATAATTTAATATCTTGCCTTCTTCTTGGTCACATTCCCTTGACAGTTGAGGAAATTAAGATTGTAAGACACTAAATATGTACAAATAGAGACACTAAGAGGCTTACCATTGAGATGAAAAGAAATCTTGATTATTACTGGGAGTGTAGAGAACAGATTAAGGCATAGGTCTCCCCTTGCATAGTGGAGGTGGGAGTCTACCAACAAGCAGAGACATTCAGTTTTTAGAGATGAAGAAGGATGTGTAGTGAGAAAAGGATTTGGAGTCATGGCCACAGCCCAGTCAGGCTCTTAGTTACTTGCTGCCTAGAATTCACTAGTTTTTTAAATATCTTTTACATGTGTCCTCCATCCCTTGCTCTCCAGCTGTCATTATCATGGTATATCAGATGTTAATTGTATCCACAAAAATGTGTATGTTTAGTCTACCTTCTGTTGTAACTGGTAAAGAAATCTCCATGCAAGCAGCTGACTGTGCTTTTCGAAATGGTGGTCTTCCAGGACCCCAGCGATTTACTTTTGAAACATCAGCACTAGAAAGACGTTTTCCAGAACTGCAACTCTGAGAAGTTGGACTTGTGCAGTGTCCATTTATGTGATCTGTACAAAGAGGAAGAAGGTAGCATAAATATCATAATTAAATCTTAATATAAAGGTGTCTAAGTGTATACATTAAAAAATGAAGAATGAGAATTCCTTTTTTTAAAACCATAGATTGCTAAATCCTTGCTATTTTAAGCCTTAGTCCAAATTTCAGTAGTTAGCTGAAAAATTTAGTATTACATAAATTCATTTTTAAAATTTGAGTAGTTAACATAATTAAAAGTTTTTATCTCCATTACGTGTTCTACAATTTAATGGCAATACAAAATAGATTATAGTATCAGACTTTCTGTTGCATACTTTAAATATATACCTACTTATACAAGTTTTGGAAGTATTTTAGGTGCTTGGAGTTTAAAATACAGAATGGAAGCATTTTACTGTGCAGTTGAGAATGGTACTTAGGAATATTGAGGCAGACTGCCTGGGCTCAAATTCCCAATTCTATCACTTACTAGTTGAGTTGTACAAATTACTGACATCTTCGTTCTTTAATTTCCTTTTTTTTTTGTCAATTGGGGATATTATCTACCTCATGGAGTTTTTGTGAACTTATACCAGAACACTTCCTGGTATAAGGTAAACTCTGAACAAAAATGATCATTTTTTCAGACTATTAAAACTGTTCATGTCTAAGACAAATAACACTACTTAGAGCTTCTGAATTTAAATTTGTTTTGATGTAACTTAGAAACTTAGAAATAATTGCACTAAAAATGTCTTATTTTTCTTAATGCTAACAAATAACATTTCAAACATCATCTCATAGTTCTTCAATATTCACAGTGCATTTTAAAATGTGCTTCTTTGGTCATTCAAAGGACAACAGAGTTAAATGGAGAAGAATAATGCCCATTGTCCATGTTGGACATGGGTAACTGGCACTCAGTGTCTACTCCATTATAGCCTTTTTGTATTGTAGAGCTGAGAACTTAAAATTATCTGTTTCCTGTATTCCACTATAGCTAGAGCAAGGATAAGAATTAGGTTTCACCATTTGAATGCATTAGTGTGTTTAAAAAAAAAAGTCAACATTTATTGAATACTTAAATGCTAAGCATGTCATATACATTACTCTTTTAATCTTTACAACAGCCCTGCAAGGTAGGTGCTTTATTATCCTGATTTTGCAGATAAGGAAACTGAAGCTCAGAAAAAAACATTCAGAAAATTGTCTAATATTACGTAGGCAGTGTTCATGAATGCAAGATTCTAATCCATATTTTCTCATTTAGTGTCTGTGTGCTTAAAAACTGGGCTAAAGGGCCAGCTAAAATATTTGAGAAGGGATAACAATTTTGCACACGTGTTTAGTAGAGTCTAGGGGAGGCTTTTGTAGTGCACCCTGTAATCCAAGTCTTCTGGAGCCAGTCATCTTATTTATTAACATAAATCTCAGAAATCAGATTTCCCAGAGGAAATACATAAATATTCCATGATGAGTTAGTCATGGGAAAGTTAAAGTCAAGAGCTCTGACCCACCATCACTATTGAATCTAGTTTTATAAATAGGACAAACACTGATGGTAACAGCTGGCACTAAGAAGGACTTAGAGTGAATTAGAAAGTAGCAACTACTTTGGGGGTACAAATTACAAAGTAAGCCCCTCTGGGTACATCAGTTAGAAGTCCCTTCTGCAGACACTTTGTCTTGTTCTAGAGTTCACTTCTTGTCCTAGAGGAATGTGGTATGGATTGCAGCCCTCTTCAACCCCTTTAGTAACTCGGTATAAGAGTATATGGTAGAGCCTTGTGACCAGTGTATGTTAACTTAGCCAAGACTCTGGACTTGCTAAGCCAAAGCCCCTGCCTAGCTATTACCATCTTTCAGTGGCTGTTTCTTGTGAATATTGTTTCATTTCAGCTCATAACAGGGTGGTATCAATTATTATTCAACATGCTAGTCATTTTTTCCCTCCGTACCTACAGTAGGGCAAAATTTCCTCAGCTTCTCATGTTTGACTCACATATGGGCAGCCTAGAGTTTTTGGCTATATCATTCTGTTCTCAGTATGGTCAATTAACTTGAAGTTCTTATTTTTATGGTGAAAATATTTTAAATGTATGGAAATGAATTTGCTTTTTTAAAAACTTTCTTTTTATCATGATAATATTCAAGATAGATATTAATACAAAACATTAGAAAGAACTTTAGTCATAGCCCAAACACAGCCATTCTGGAAATTTATGATAAATAACACTAAATACACAAGAAAAAAACTTGATAAAATTGTTCACTATAGTTTTAATTTCTACAGGTAAAAATTGGAAACAAAGTATACAATTGAGCATAAAGTTTTTAGGTAAATTGTAGTATATATTACATAATAGAGTATTATAACCTTTAAAAATATTTCTGAAATGCCTGTAGAAACTTATAAAATGTATCTGATATGTTTTGTTAGCTCTGTTGCATAAAAACTCCAAAATGTTAATGAAGTAAAATAACAGTTATTATGCTCACAGGTTCTGGTTCTGTGTCAGAACTCAGGCTAAGGCAAGGTGGGGGTATTAATCCATGGTGTCTGGGGCATTAGTTGGGAATGCTTGAATGGCTAGGGGCTTAGAATTCTTTGGAGGCTTCTTTACTCACATGCCTGGGGTAGCAAAGGCTGAGCTTGGTTGAGACTGTCTTTGGTGGCTTTCTCAGGGGCCTTGGGCTTTCTCATAGCATGGTGACCTTTTTTTTCACACATAGTGGCTCAGGGCTTCAAAAACCTGGCAAGTGATTTTGAAAATAGGATGGAAGCCATATTTCTACTGCTTCGGTATTATTGCTATGGAGACTGTTTTATTTTGAAAGCAATATTCCAATATCCAGTTACAAGCTTTTTGTATATCATGAGGGTAGGTGTCATAGCAGATTACTGATCCTGGTCTTGTAAACAAGTATGCTTTTGGTTCAACAACTGATTGGCAGTAGTCTTCTGATTCTCTAACAGTAGAAAAGTGTTGGTCCCCTGGTATGGCCTTATTTTGGAAGTTGTACCTATAGCCCAAACTTAGAGTTTAGTTCTCTAATCTTCCAATGATTTCATACGAACCTGGTTTCCTGTATTAAATCACTTTCTGTATAACATAACTACAATAGTTTGTTTCCTACAATTGTTCCCTGATTGGGTGCTTTAGCCCAGCTGTACTACTCTATGCCATGTAAAGAAAATTCAATATTCTAAAAAATTCAACCCTAAAACAATAAGCAGATTAAAGCAAAAAAGAAATTATTATTCATTATTTTACAGAAAGATTCCAAAATTTAACAAAAGTTACAAGTTCTTGTAAATTAGCTGATTCTCTGTACATTTAAATCATATTTGATTTAGCATATTTATTACATAAAGTAAGGTACAGCAGTAATTTACTGAAGATGACTTGAATCCAGTTGAAATTATTTTTAACATAGTCCTTGCCTAAGCATTCTAGAATGCAGATGTAATTAATTTAATATGTGGTAAACTAGTTAAACTTTATAAAGCACCATAGAATTCCTAAGGAAATGAAAATTAGTAGTATTATGCCTATGCCACAGAGAGTGCTTCTATGGTGAAATAAATGTAGAATATAATACTTGTTCTAATACTAGTTCATACTATATATAATACTAGTTCATAATACTAGTCAAACATTACATTTTAAAAACAATAAAAGTAAGTGAAATAAAAAGACTGCATTTAACCATATAAAATACAGGAAATATCAAATGGTTAAAATGTTTGAAAACCAGTATTACATTACCCTTGCTTACTTCTATAGTTAAGAGGGTAACTCTTTATCTCCCTTCCTTTGTAATCATTGGTTATGCAACCCTGGTAGAAGTTGGTTTGCTGATTGACTTGGTTGTTTGCTTGATTGTTTAGAAAAACAATTTATTAAAAGTTATCAGGCAGGTTCTCCCTGTGAGGTATTACTCTGAAGTTTTGCAACCAAAAACAATGCCCAACCACACCAGAGTTAAGGTTCTGTCAGAACCATTCTGACAGAATGATACCATGCTGTCGCTGGCTCAGCATTGCTGGTGCTGTGGCATAGATGTTAGGAACCGTGGTACTGCTGACCTGGTACAGCAGAAATCTCTACCATCATACTCACCAAAACTGAGGTTTATGTAACTTTTATTTTTATTTCCATGTTTTTGAATGTCAAACAAGGAGTAAGCTATATCATTTTTCTGTACATTTTGCCAATAATTCTGCAGTTTTTAAGCTCTTATTTTTATGGCATTCTTCTGAAAAATTTTAAGTTTTAAGACCTAGAGAGACTGAATTAGACTTCCTAGTGAAGTCAGATTAATTTTTATTCCCAGTTTTGATTTGATTCTTCTATAGAAAAATTTTCATGACTATGATTTTGTAGTCAAAGCTAAAATAACTGAATGAATACAGGTTTATATGCTCTGAGTTTGATGTTTATTTTCTAAAATCCAAAGTTTCTAAGAGCTACTTCCTCTTTATTTCTTAATAATTTCCTCAATTTGCTTTTTTCAAGTTTAATTTGTAATGCATACATTTAAGTGGAAGTTTAAAAATTATTTTACAGTCTTTGGGAAAATACTGTTACTGAAAACATTTTCATTCCTTAGCCTTTATCACTAATGAATAGAATTCTAAATTGCAATAACAATAATTATTTTTATAATTTCAGCTTCATTGAGGTATAACTGACATTGTAAGATATTTAAAATGTTCATCATGGTGATGTGGCATACACATACATTGGGAAAGGATTCCCACCATCTAGTTAATTAATATACCTATCATAACACATATTTATTTATATTTTTGGTGAGAACATTTAAGTTCTACTCTTAGCAAGGTTTCAGTTATACTTAGTTATACTTATGTTTTACATTAGATTCTCAGAACTTATTCATCTTATAGCTGAAAGTTGGTACTTTTATAAATTTCTCCACGTTTGCCCTAGCTCCTGATAATCTCTTCTCTTTGTTTTTATGAGTATGATTTTTTTTTAGAGTCAACATATAAGTGCTACCACCCAGT